ACCTCTCCCTTGGTAAAGCTTTGGTAAAGATGTATGTTACTTGCTCTTTGGTTGGACAATAGATTAGATCACTAATTCCTTGCTGCAAGGCATCTTTAATGAAGTGATACCTTCTGTCAATGTGTTTTGTCCGCTGATGAAACACTGGATTCTTGGTTATTGAGATTGCAGATGTACATTCCAAAGGAGTTGCTTCAGTTTGTAATTCCCCAAAATTCTCCAAAACAAATCTAAGCCAGATAGCCTGAGCTGTAGCTTCTGATGCACTAATATACTCTGCCTCTGCAGTTGAGAGTGCAACACAATTCTGCTTAACAGATGTCCATGAGAAGGCTCCACTTCCAAATGAGAATGCATAGCCGAATGTGCTTTTGCTATCATCAATGGAGTCTCCCCAGTCACTGTCATAATATCCAATTAGCATTGCATCATTTCCTTTTCCATACTTCAATCCATGATCCAGTGTCCCTTTGACATATCTGAGAACTCTCTTGGCTATCCCATAATGCTTGTTTGTAGGGCCATGCATATATCTAGCTAGTAAACTAGTTGCATACATCACATCTGGCCTTGTAGCAGTGAGGTATAACAAACTTCCCACAATCTTCCTATATTGCTCTTCACTTGTTGCACCACTTCCATCATCTTTGCTTGCTATATGTCTCGCTACTTTGACACTGTGAATAGTCCCTACTAAATCTAGCGAGGAAGGGAGAAAGTCGCAAGCTAACTATACATAAACAAATCTTATTTCAATGTTCTTCCTCCACAGGCTGCACTGTTCTTACTCCACATGCTGACTAGGTCGTGGACTATGGATACATCGACGACAGAGTGATGAATTTTGTGGAGATTTGGACGAGCTTCGGCTAGTATATTCAAGGACCAAGCCCATTAAATCTGGGACGATAGAGTCGTTCATGTCAATTGTAACGACAATGAAAAACCTAGTTAGATATGGGATGATGGCCGATGAGATTTAAAATTGGTGAAGTAACAAATGACGGAGGGAGAGTCTGACAGACAAAAAAACACGAAAGAAGGAATAGAAGTGGTTAGAGAGAACTTGACCGAAAAAACAAAGAAATGGGAGAAGGGAAAAGGAAAGAGAACTTGACGAGAAAAACAAGAAAAGGGAGAAGGGAAGTAGAAAAATAACTTGACGGAAAAAAAAATGGTAGAATAATTGGTGTTAAAAATTTGAATTATGGAATAATAAAATATTAAAAAGTTGAATTATTAAATAATAGAACATTATAGTGTTTGTTAAAACAGATATACATATTTCTCTAATTAACTTATATAGATCAATTTTTGTTTGTTTAGATGGTTTATAAATTTCTGTGGTTTTTAGGTGAGGCTAATCAAGGAGGATTTTGGATATGATGACGCTTTTAACTACCACGCCGAGACAGATTTTGATGCAACTTTGACCAAGTAATCATTGTTTAACAAATTAGCATTAAGATTTTGAGAAACATATATATGAACATGAAGACTGAAAATTTTACAGGTATTTCCCCGATGGAATTGATGTGTACCTTGACAATGTTGGCGGTGGAATGCTTGAGGCTGCTCTCAACCATGTCAACAAGCATGCAAAGATCCCTCTTTGTGGCATGATATCAGGCTACAGTAAGGTTATTTAATACCATTACTGCCCTTTGTCTTCTTCATACGTATAACTGTCATGCACATATATTTAATTATTTGTAAGCAATATGACCCAATATCACATGCATAAAAAGACATGTTATTGGAAATTTATATATCTAGACATGTGCATATGTTCGTCCGTTTCTCAAATGCAAAGCTCATCTATTTTGTGCAGGTTGATAGAGGGGGTGAGGAATTTGATGAATTTAATCGGAAAGGAGGTGAATATACAATGGTGGAATTGTGAGTTCATACTTGCATCGTTGGGGGGATTTTGTGAAGGAGCCACCTAAAGGAAGGCAAGATTGGTTATTCTAAGCTCAAAACATTCCATGGAACTGAAAATTTCTTGGAGAGCTTAGGACCTCTCTTCACCAACTCTAATGTGGGAAGACTAGTAATCCAAGTCAAGTAATAATATTCGGTTGAAGTAAATCTATGTTAAGGCATCAATGCTTCATGAAAAGGATGTAATTAAGACATGGTTGTTCGTTGAAATTGAAGCCTCTAGAATTGCTTAGTTGTTAAGAATTTAAAAGCGTTCATACTAATTAATTAGTTTCAATAAAATTATTTGGATACACAAAACTGACATACGTACTTATGGACACATTTTTTAGTTTAGGAAAAAGTTAAAGAATTAGTTAGATAAAGAAACATATTTGAATGGTTGTAGGAGAAATTGCCAGAGAATTAAGAAAAGGGCACACAAGGTTTGTAGGGAAATTGGATTCAATCGCTAGAAACGGGGTGGTGTGGAAACTGCCTCACATTGTGCATGAGTTACACGGACAAGTATATCAATGCCACCAATCTTTTGCTCATGCAATCTTTATGTTCCCTAATAACCCCATGCACTTATCACAATGTGCCATAGTGAACATTCATGCGTTACCCCCATTCCCTCAGGCCACTATTATTCTCCCACAATCCCCGCAAGCTACCAGTCCTGACTATCTTACATATGATCTGTTGCAAGAAATTGCATGAGGTACCTAAATTATTGGATTAACATAAACTCTTACATTAGACTTAGGCCTTCCACAGTGGAGAATAACTAATCATAAAATAGGAAAAACGAAAAATTAAGTAGGTTCCACAGTTAATAGTACAATTCAGCTTTATTGTCACTATTGTAGCAATAATATTATCATAGGAATCAAACTCATCAAGGGTTTTGATTTCTGTTTATATGAATCAAACCACCAGAGCATTGTGGAAGTTCTACTTCCATAGTGGTATGGATAATGATTTGTGTTCCCTCTACAGAGGAACCTACTTGTTCCCCCACTTATAATTAACATATCTTCGTCGTATGAACATCAAAACCGGAACTGTTCATTCTCTTTATCATCATCTAAATATCATATCTGCAAAATTTCATTTACTTTGGAGATCTTTTAGCCATTCATGCGTGTTAAACCAATCAAAGGCTTTGGTAAAAATTAGCACCTCATGATGAACCATTCATTTGTTTGAGGCATATGAAGGGCTAAAAGACCTCTAAATTAAATGTTTTTTTTGTGTGGATATAATTTTTAGTTGATAATAAAGAAAATGTGCAGTTCCGATTATGATTTTTGTACGATAAAGATACGTTAATTATAAGTGTGGAACAAATAGGTTCCCCCCATAGGAGGAACAACATTATTATGTGAGTTTGATTCCCCATTTACAAGAGAATTAAGATGTTTGAGTTTGATTGCTATAACATGATTTCTTTAGCGGGGTGTGAGTTTGATTCCCATATACTATAAGAATCAAACTCATGAGACACATTACACTCAGAGTTCAAGTTTAAATTCCGGCCCATTGTGTAAATTTAATTTTAATTCATAAGAATCAAAACTCAAATTCCCAACCCATTGTGAAAAGGTTAAGTTGGAAATATTTGACCCTCGACTGATTTTACACTTCTGCGTATAAGCGAACAATGATTAAGAAAAAGAATTTTATTATTGAAACTAATAATAATTCATTGTGCACTCTTCGTAAATACATTTATTTTAAATATATATATATATATATAAAGTTTACAGTGTACAATAAATTTTTTCTTGAAGTGCCAATAAAAACACTCATAAAAAATTTATATATTTTAAGTCAACTATGAAACGCACGCTACATACTTCGGTACTTGAACACTGATCATGCCAATGGTTAAGTAGGTATATTTTGTTTTTTTATCCAACTCGACAATTGATCTAGTACATAGATGTGAACCAGAAACTGAAAAAGGTCAAGAAAAATTAGTAACGGATACAAGATATACATTGTTTCCCCATTGACCAATTTCCCTTCCATCTCGACTCACTGGTCCTATAGTAGTGGTCAATTAGTAAAACTAGTTGAAGTTTACTATTGGCTTTTCTTTTTTCTTTTTTTAAGTTATTTTCTGTACCTTTTTAAAAACGTTTGTTTGGGCTTTTTAAGGAATTTTAGTGATATATACATCGATCATTACCAATTTAGGATGAATTAGAAAAGCAAATGGGGTAGAACTTGAAAAAATGTTTGCGTGCATGGTCACTCCAATTCAAAAGCAGCAACTCCTATGTTTGATCTTACATTTTCAATACTTTTTTTATTACAACATCAGTGAGGGAAGAAGCCAGGCGGTGAATAGGGAAAAGTGGTTATGCGTGAACCCTTTCTTTTTGCCAAAATAAGCCAACCCTACTTGAGATCAAGGGATGGGTTGGCTCCCGAAGGCTGCAAAGAACACCTCTATATTTAGCAAATTTTCAGTGATATTTTTGGCTGAATTTCGTGATAATGTTGTCTTCTTGTCTCTTGGATTTTGGATTTATTACATCACAAGCCCTAAGTTTGGCATGGCGTGTGCTCAAAAACTTAGAAAAAAGTTAAATTTTAGTGCAGATGAGAAAACGTCACAAATAGATGAAAAATCGTCACGAAAAACGTGAGGGTCACATAAACTTTGGTGATGACATTGTTCGGCCACAGCCAACACTCAAAAATTTCTATTCATTGGGTTGGTTGAGTTCCTATTTTTGAAGCATAAAGCTTCTCCATTGGGTTCGTTTAATCCAACAGCAAGCATTTTATCATATTATAGAAAATTAAGAAAATTAATTGAAAAAAAACCCCACAAATTAATAGATATTTAAGAAAGGAAAACATAAAATAGGATAAATTTAACAAGAATCCATGAAATGGTTTTAACTCATGAAGAACTGGTGCCATTAAAGCTGAAACTAAAACTCTAATTAAGTTAAACACTGATGATATATACAACACACGCATAACATAAACAACATTTTGATTTTGGTTTTTGAGTTTAGTTACTCGACTTCAACATAAACGCTGAACTAAAATAGAAGAGAAGTTTCATTAACCCTAAGACAATTTTTGTCTTCCTTACTGCTAGAATAACTAGCCCTAATTATGAAAACTCTAGCTAACTAACAAGATAAAACCCGCGAGACGGATTCACTAGCCTAGTGAAACTCTCTAGCATATTAACCATATGCACACTAAGCTCTAGTCCTCGTCAGTACACATATGTATGGACACTCTCACTATCTCTAGTCTGTTGAAGCAGATGATCTCAACATGAAGCTTTCAATTCTCAGCATATGCCGGGCATGTTGTTCCAGTAGCAAGAACCTAGGGAGCGCTTAACTTCGGATGCTGCCGCAGTGTTGGTCTTCACTGATGGTGTCAATGGTGCATTTTGCTGAATCTCTAGACTCACATTGTCACTAGTAACGACACCTGACATCGATGCCCGGTTAGACATGCATCCTTGCACGTACCATGACTCAGACACTGCAGGTGCAGAGGGAAAGTTGAGCAGGCTCAACAAGTCATCATCCATCTCCTCTAATGGATCCTCATTTTGTTTCATGCCTGTGCAACAAAACCACAGGATTATACATAGCATATACATATGGGTATGATCAAATGATAAAAATCGACTTCCTACATTTGTCAAATTTGTTTACTAAATTTTGTTCTCCAAACGTAAAGAGATAGTATTTCAGTTATAATTTGAGCCCACTAGATATTGTCTAACGACTAACAACATAAAATGCTTATATTGTCATACTATTGATTAAGTCGGTTTATAAATGTGTTGTACAAGATAACATTAGTCTAACAAGATAATATTACCATAACATGCGTACTCTTCTATTCAATTTGGTGAACAATTTTGATGACACTATTAATTACACTAAAACACAAAAGGCATGCAAAAGTTTTTGTATTTACCAATTGCTGACGGAGAGGAGCTACCATCCCTCTGATTGTCAGCACTATTCTCGCCGCTACTCTTCGATTCAACCTGCACGGTGTCTTCGGCCTCCTTCTCAGCTGACTCTTGCCCCTCCTCTTCCTCCTCTTCCACCATAAGACGTTTCTCTTTACGGGACCACCCTGACGAACAGCTGTTGCCACTCTTTGCTTTCTTATTCGATTTATTCTGAGCCTCCACCAAAACATCATCCAACAGACCACTATTCCCTTGGGACGGCACAGGTGCAATTTCATAGTGATCTCCAGTGGTATAGCCTGAGCCCCCCATCTGACCCTCACCGAGGCCATTAATACTCAGCAGTGTTTGGTTGGAAGGGAGCTCTTTGGACCCTTGAACCAAAGGGGTTGGGTCATAAGTAGGAGTCCCCATGATCATGGAGCTCAGACTAAGATTGTTGTAACCACCAAACCCTCCATGAGAACTGTACTGACCTATTAAGGCTTGGTTTGGAATGTTGCTTTGGTTGAAGAGAGCTGAAGACGATGACGACCCGAATGGAGAAACCGGGGACAAAGGCATAGCAAAGCCACCATTTCCATGGAATTGAGTCATGGGATTGGAGTAAAGAGAAGAAGAAATGTGGTGGTGGTTTTGAAGAAAGTAATTGTTATTAGGGTTTTGGTGGTCTGAGGTGGAGGAGAAAGTACTTGTGATGTGGTCGTAAAGAGAAAGCTGCGAGGGACTGAAATTGTTAGGTTCCCAAGGCTGAGAGGAAGAGAGGAGTGATGAGAATGAAGAAGCAGAAGACGAAGAAGAATGTCTAAGTTGGTGGTGGTACTGGAAGGCGGCAGCCGGTGCTTCTTGTTGAAGGTCACGAGGGTAAACTGGCAAACCGGCTCTCTGGCGACGCTTCATTCTAGTATTCCAGTAGTTCTTTATTTCATTGTCAGTCCTGCCGGGTAACTGATGATCGATGATATGCCAAAAAAAAAAGTAACAGATAAACATGAGCTTCAGAGAAAGAGAAAGTCAAACAAATTGAAAATTAAAAAAAAGAAGATAATCAAATAGTTAAGTCCAAAAGAAAATTAAGGGAAATGGGGAATCTGGTCAAAAAAATGAGATCAGTACCATATATACAATAAGAACACATTAAATTTTTGGCATATACAGGAACAATGGATTCATTATTACAAAAAAAATTTGAGCTAGCAAAACTCAGAAACTAAGATTTTTACACCAAAAAAAAATTTACAAAAAGGGGTTTCAAACTCTGAATCTCTAACTTACTCAGAATTTAGAATTTTATACTTGGTAATCAAATAGAATAAGGAAGCGAATCCTCCACTAGGTTTTTATACATTTTAGACAGATAGTCCAAGAAGACCAAAAAAAGGAAGTGAAAGCAACTCAGGTCACAATCAGAATAAAAGATAAGAAAGAAAAAAGAAAAGAAAAATTACATAAAAAGGTATAGACCAAGGGACAAGAAAAAAGAAACAAAGAAAGAAAAAAAATTATTCCATAGAGAGTACATAAATAAAATAAAATAAAATCCAAAAAATCAAGAAAACCAAAAACAAATGAATGAACAGCAAAAAATTAACCTGAGAAGCCATGCGAGCCCATTTGTTGCCGAACTTAGCGTGAAGCTCGATGATGAGTTTCTCCTCCTCAGGAGAGAGTGAGCCTTTCTTCAGATTAGGCCTCAGATGGTTAGCCCATCTGAGCCTGCAGCTCTTACCGCATCTAGCCAGCCCTGAATTCTTCTGCACCGCATTCCAGTTTCCCTCTCCGTGCTTCTTCACGTACTCAATCAAAATCGCATCCTCTGCGGCCGTCCAGGGCCCCTTCTTGAGGCCCCGCTGGTGGTGGTGGTGGTGGTGGGAGCCGCCTCTCTGAGCTCCTACCGCCACCTCATGAACTCCGTCCAGGACTCCGCTGTTGAGCATCATGATAATTTTTAGGCCTATACCTAGCTAGCTCTATATTGGTTATATGTGAAGCTACCGGCCACCTATGTTTCTTTCTTAATTCTTCGAGGTTGGTTTTGTTCAATGTGGTTTTTTGTTTTATGGGATGCTTGAAATGTTACTTTGAGAAATTGGGAGAGAGAGAGACAGAGATATATGAAGGTTTGGAAGGGTTGATCTTTTCTCTCCTCTCCCAGGGTGTGAGAGAGAAATGCAAGAGAGAAAGAGGGGAGAGAATTGGAATCCAGAGAGAGAAAGACAGATACAAGAAGCTAGAGCTTAGATCTTGTCTCTATTCTAGCTTTGTTTTTGTTTTAGATAGGGATTTCAGATTTAGAGAGAGAGAGAGAGAGAGAGAGAGAGAGGATGATAGGAGAAAGAAGGGTCTCTGAAGTTTGGGGGCTTTGGTGGGAAGGGTGAGTGTGTGAGGAGAGAGAAGGGAGAGAGAGGGGGGGGGGGTGATTTATTTAGAGGTACGAGCTTCCATTTCGGTCCGGGTTGCATGCTAAGTGGTACGTCCATGGACACGTTTTTTATGTCCACCCTTCATTGCTATTGCGCCACACTCTTCCCCTCTTTCACTTCTAGAGCACCATTCTGGACATTTCCACTTCCCCTATTTCTTTTTTCCTATATATAAAAGAAACCCAAGTATTGTAAATTCAAATCATATTCATTTCACTTGTTCTTCTTCTTAGGTCAAACTTCAAAGATACATTTTAAGAAATACGTTTGAAATATACCATATACTAAACCAATTTGGACTACATTTATGAACGGCATTGCTCGCCGGACCTCTCACAAGTTCGGAGTTCATGTGGGGGCGATCAAGAGTTAATTACAAAAGATATCTTATCTTTTTAAGACTAAAACGACACGCGGAATTAAAAGGCGGACGACTTTTCTTGACATTCTTATCCAATCAGTACTGAAAGTTATTATTAGAGTTACGTCAATTGTGGACCAGTGTATTATTAGTTTTTGTCGTATGTTATTATGAAATTCTTGTCGAACTTATCAAGGGAAGAATTCACATCGCTGTCTTAAATTTATTCCAGGAAAAATTTTCTCTTTATATTTAAATATATTCGAGCATTTTTTATTTGAAAAATAAAAGGACGGAAAAAACAAAGTTATCACCAATTCTCTTTTTCTGACTCCTTCTATAATTAATTACATGGATAGAAAATATGCAAAATTCGACACCAGTTAGCTTATAGTGCTTGCTTAAGTTTTTATTTGCTGGGTGAGTTTATGAATATGATACAAATAGTTTAATTTATCAATCAAGTAGTACTATTGAAGTTTACTTGACTCACAACATATTTTAAGAGTGTCATCATAAGTTTGTCAACTAATATACTTAACAGTGAAATTTTAGTTACATTGGAAGGAACATTTAAACCTAATCTAGTCCTCACTCATTTTCACCTTCCTCTCTTGCTATTTGGGCACTCAATGGCAATTTTGTATTTCTATTAAAATGAACGTTACCTTCTCTTTTATTTTGTATGTTTGTGATTACTTTATATTCACTCCCCTTCTTTCCATCAGTAAAGATTTGAATTTGTTTTTCTTCTTTCTATAAAATGTTAATGGCTTTCCTTAAAAACGTATATGCATTTTGACTATATTAATTATAACTTGAACATGGTGTTTTTAGAAAATTTTGTTTATGAGTAATGTGAAATAGTAATTTCTTCTTTCTTAGAAGTTGAGTAGCTTGTTTGGTATGTAAGCAAACAACATGGCTAGAAACTCAATTGGGTCAACCACAATCCTTTGTTCTTTGAATTTCATCCTAAAAGTTATAGAAGTTAACCCTATTTTATTATATTTAGTTGTGGTATGCAGCCTTGTCTGGTACGAAACTATATTCCCCAGGTTTTTTTTTTTTTTTTTTTTTTGAGGAAAACCTCGACGGTGCGAGGGTATTTTATTGATATCGAAAAAAGGTACACCTAGTAAAAGGGGCATAAACCTAACCCCTTATAATCCAAGAAAAAAAGAATAAAAAATACATGAAAAGAAGGGAGACATAAACATTACCCTAGAAACAAAAACAAAAAAGATACAAGGAAAAGAGGGGGGGGGGGCATGAAACATAATCCTTCTAAAACCGAACCTAAAGGTCTAAATCTGTAAAACAGAACAAGCAACATGACAAGGTTAAGAAAAAAAACAAGGAAGTGAGACAAACCTGTATGTCGAGAGACATATTAATTTGAGAAGCATAAGCTAGGTAAGCCAACATAGTCTGAAAGCAAAGCAACACGAACTGTCATTGCAAAAGACAAGCCCATATTAGCAAAATTGTCTGCAACTGTATATTCACCAAGAATAAAATACAATGTTTTTTTTTCTTAAGACCATATTTATTTATCATTACTAGAATGAATTGTTCTAATTATTTATTTGAAGTTGTGATGGAGGTATCTACATGAAATGCTAATTGTTATAGAATTTTGAAGATCAGTTGTGAGTTCAACCACAAGCTGGTGGCCTCGGTGATAAAGAACGGATTGCGAGGCTTCTTTCAAACTAAAAACTGTATGTCTCAAGTTCGAAATCTGTTGCTGGTGTGGAAGTCAGACTTGTGGCCAGTAAGAGGCTGAAATGCCTCTGTGAGCCTTTCCGGCCCCTGAAAAGTGAGGATAATTGTGACTTACCACCAATTGTGTCATTTCAAAGAAAAAATGATAATAAGCTGTGAATTCAATTTATACAGGTTTATTCCCATAAAATTTATAAGTATTAGAAAATGTGATCGGATTTAATATAACAATAATGGAATTAGTTTTCTTAGTCTCAAGTTCAAAATTTGTGGATCCATGTTTTAAAATATTGTAATTGTTCCTTAATTACACTTGTAATTGTTACTTAGTTACATTTACAATTGTTACTCAATCGTATTACATGTGTAATTGTCGTGTTAATATCATATTTATACAATAATCTTTTTCAATGCCTATTACATGTAGAAGATTTGTACAATTTACATGATACTTTTAATCACTCTTTTACATTATTTAAATTTGAACTTATTATACTTTACAAACTTTTTTATACATATTTTTCGGTCAAGTAAAGATAACGTCGAAAACAATTGATGACAAGTATTTCAATGAATAATCTATAATATTTTGATTAAGTTAATAATATACAAAAACAAATATAGATCGTGACATCTATTTTTCATAAAATATTTTTGTATGAACTTACATATTCGTTTCTTATCAATTTTGTGTCGAAGCTTTGGTTAACAAGCTTGTTCAACAATGTGTTAGCATAGTATACTTTTTTTTGTAGACATTGCATAAGTTGCAAATTCAATTTTTTTTCTCATATTACCTTGTACAAAATTAAATAAACAAACAACAGAGAATGAGAAAATCCTTTTTTTTTTTTCTCATTTGAATTTAAGTAACAAAAGCCACATTGGATTTCAAAAAACAAAGAAAATGTACATTTTGTTGATTTTTAAAATTCCAATCACGGGATAATCATGGACTACAAAAGATTGCGGCCCATAAAAGCTTTTAGACCCCATGTAGAATAAAGCCGAATATAAACCATATCTTATTGAAGGACTAAAGAACTTTAGATATAATAGTTTAAAACGCATTACTATAACACTATCAATCAACTACTCAAACACTACAAACTTTTAACTTAAACACTACCCATGCTCTTTAAGGACACAAAAAAAGGACTTTCAATGACACTTACCAAGGAGTCATTTGAAAATTCTCTCAAATGTATTGCTCTAGTATTTTCTAAGTCCCTTTTTTCTAATTTTGTATTGCATTCCTAACAATTTTAGCCTAATCTCAATGAAACCTTTATAGTCCCATATAAAAGTGCACCAGTAAGCTTTGTGATAAAGGTATCTAAAAGCCTTAAAAACATGACCCTAAATACGAAAAGTAATTCCTCTTTCTCTCTCAAATAGTGCGGCGCAACACACACCCACGACATGGAAGTTTCTCAACTTAGAGACAAGTCAAGGAGTGATCTTCTGACTTCTAAATACCAACATCAACAAAAGAAAAAAAAAAAAAAAAAAAAAAAAAAAAAAACCCAAAGGGTAGATATCTTCACCACATCTTCTAACCTCTGCATTATCGCTTACGGCACATCTTCTAACTTGTGCAACCCTGACTTCATACTCCGAAGACCAAAGTAGTACCAGATTCAGTATACCATATGATCTTCAAATCAATTGGTGCCTTTTGCATTCAAATAAGGAAGAATGACTTTTAAAGACCTACTCAACATAGCTAACTCCAATATAAAATCTGAAAGTATATCTATTGGTCTGTATTAAATCTCTCTTCCAAGACATTTCCGCATTTCTTTCTAATCTTTGTGCTGGAAACAGAAAAACTTACAACATTGATTCTCCGGAAGACAAGAAACCTCCTTCTGCATCGTGAATTCAAGTTGTTGCCACTTGTGTTTAAATTCAAACACAATACAATAGAAAAGTGCAAACCACACCTGGAAAAATTGCTGTGACTCTACTTGCTAGTAACATTTAACAAAGCTAAGTCCTAATAGAGGTCTCGAACCTGTCAAATCTAACAAAGCCGGACTCATTTAGTGTTTCATTTCGTACACAAAGAGCATGAGCGGCAATCAAACACCAGTGATGACTCCTCTGTATTACACATAAATTTTCTGATAAGCACAAACCCAATTACCAAATATTTGCCACAGAATTTGAGTATAACAGTTATATTCATGGACTTTCATAAGTCAAAGCAAAAATGTAAACAATGTGCCAACAGGGTTTATAAAAAATTATGATTTACAGGACCATAAAGAACCACATTTTGTTAAACAACTTGAAAAAAGAAGATGCCCGAAGTACCTCCTACACATTGTTCGAATCAAAGCAATGATATATGTCGAGAATCCCCATTCTTGGTTTGTTTCCTTCTTCAGGCATCAGATGATCTAATGCCAGCACCACAGGGCTTTCCCGGAACCCAAGTTACATCCAAACTTCTGAGATTTTGCAAGCAATTACAACATGTCCTTGATAAAATCAAGATTAAGCGTGTCCTTAACGATAAGGAACAATCCTAGGAAAAGAACAAGGGTTATCCCTGATGACATAATCCCCTGCTCTACTTCTAGAGGGAGCTTTCTCCCACCCCTAGCAGCCTCTATGAGGATGAAAGCCAAGGTACCACCGTCTAAAGCAGGTAGTGGAAGAAGATTGATTACTGCAAGGTTGAGATTAAGCAAGGCTGCAAACTGATAGAGTCCATCAATATTCGACCTTGCAACTTCTGCCCCTACAGCTATGATT